GAAGGGGAGGCAGGAACGTGAGCAGCGAGTCTATGCTCCCTTATTACGCAGCAGCCAGTGGGTGTGCTGTGGGCATGTTCAACACATCCATGGGGGAGCTGCAGAAGCACTTGTACAAAGGGGAATACTATGCCTTCAAGTACGCCCCCATGTTCGAGAGCGACTTCATCCAGGTGCTTCCCATGGAAAGCATCCCCCCCCCCCACCCCCCGCCGTCCCGCTGCCCTAGCTCTGGCCCCAAGCTTGTCTCCTTCCCAGGCTCCCCGTGCCGCGCTAGGCCACTCACCGGCTCCCAGTTTGATTGGGGGGCGGGCGGCCGCAGCAGCAGCATTTGGGGTCTGAGTGAGACAGGTCCACGAATCCCAGATCTGCCTGGGGGTTGAATAACAAGACTTGGTGGAGCAGGACGTGTTGGGGTCTGAGAGGATTCCACTTGAGAATGGGGTGGGGAGGGAAGAGAGGCCTCAGATACCAACCAGCCGTGAGGTAGGTTTGAACCTGGCGAGGGATTGATCATCCATGAGTCTTAGATAGTGTCCGTCTGCCTCCAGTCCATCCAGAGGAGGGGGAGAGCTCTATGGAAGTGGGCACCTGGTCTCTCCCTGCCACGTTTCCCTTCATTTTCCTCCCCCTTCCCCACTGCAGATCAGCAAGAGAGGGGAAATGATTGGCATGCATAACCAGGCATGCATGGTGACCGTGGGCATTGCGTCCACCAGCCCGATTATGCCTTTGCCCAATGTCATGCTGTTAGCCCGGCACGTGGCGTATGTTGAGGATCAGCCCCGTCCAGAGGCCAGCTCCAGGAGCAAGATGCAGCACCCCCACTCTTCAAAGACCCTGGAGTTGACCAGGTGAGCCAGCCATCGCACTTGGCCTGTCCCTTACCGGAACAGCATTTCAACCTCCTGGTTTTCAACTTGGATGAGCTCTAACCATTGAGCTCAGATAACCATCCTACCAAACATGCCAGGCAACGTGATCTTAACAAAGTCACTTAGAGAGTAACTGGACTTAGGTCAAGGAACAAGGGTTCAAAATCCATGGACTTCTGAAGAGAACCCCCATTTCCATCTCTCTCTCTCACACCTGGAAAATGAGGTGTCAGCTCCAAGCAGAGCCTGCACCTCCAGTGTGACAAACCGATGACCAGGCCACTCAAAGTCTCAGGCAGCCAGTGCAGCTGAGGGGGAATTGATGGGGAGGGTGGGGGTTGGAGGAGAAGGAGGGAAGACTGTGGAACGTACTTACTTCCCTCGGTGGGATGGGCTACAGGCTACTCCCCCTGGAGTTTGTGAAGATTTCTGTCCATGACCGTGAGAAGCAGCAGCTTCGGCTGAAACTGGCCAGCGGGAGATCATTCTACTTACAGCTCTGCCCACCCTCCAATGCCATGGAAGACATCTTCTCCTACTGGGAGAAGCTCATCTACCTCCTTCGGCCACCTGCTGAGGGCTACGGCAGCACCCATGCCATCCCTGCTGGGGATGGGGTCGAGGTGCCTGTTTTCATAGCCAAAGAGAAATTTCCTATGAGTCGAGCCACAGAAGGACCCAATTTGGGCCTGCGTGCCTCTGAGGGCCTCATCACTCTGCTATATTCTCTAATCACCTATGCTAGAAAATGGGGGTGAGGGGGAAATGATGAACGATTTGATGAAGTGTTCTAGGCCCAACCCTTTCAGCAATGACAGGCCTCTGCCCTAGGGTCCACAGGCTAGAAGGAAGGAGGCCTTGATTGCCAACCCCAATCCTGGCTAGGAAAATGGGGGAGGGTTGGCAAAGATGTGCCTTCTTTTAGGAATCAGTCCCCCCACCCCACCCTATGCACGCTCACAACACACTAGAACAGACACACGTGTTCCATGTCCTGGAATTCCCTGGGGCTTCCTCAGTTTCCTTCTCCAATCTAATGGGGTAGGAGGATGGCTCCTGACCCTAGGATGTTTATGACCTGACCTTGCCCCGGGCCCGCCTTTTACGATCTTTCCTCTTCTGCCCCTCGCACTATGGGCCCCAGTCCCGGGAGCCTATTCTGCACAGCCAAGGGGAGCAGGATAAAGTAAGTATCAAGAGTCTTCATGTGTTGTCTCACATTCCTGGCCAGGATAAGGTGGAAGTAAAGCCGGAAATAATCATGGCGGCTGCAGCCGGGAAGGGCTTCCCTAGCACAGCAGGCATAGAGAAGGACCTGCTGCCCCATCACTATACCATCCAAAGAGTGCCCAATGTGTCCCCTCCCAGTACACCATCTGTCCCAAGCATTGTAGTAGCAGCTGCTGCCAGCAGGGGTCCTGCCAGTAAGGCCATGGCTGGGGCCCCCACGGGGATGGGGACAGCCACAGCAGGCAGCCAGGGGTCTGGCGTAAGTGTAGCCCCGGCTGGGACTGCAACTGGGCAGGTAACAGAGACCGTGTCTGCCAGCAGTGTTAGTCTAATGCTGGCTGGCGCTGCCAGCATGTCACCAGACTCGGTGATCATGGCTTCGGCAGGCACCGGCAGCCTGACGCCCTCAGGCCACGTGAGTGTGGCCTCTGCTGGAGCTGGGAGTGTGGCGGGCCTAGGAACCGTCACCCCGCTCAGGCCCGAGTACCCCCTGGTGTCAAGCTTGCAGAGCGAGGGCGACATGAGTGAGCGGGAC